ATTTGTAATATAATTTGTGTGTCTCTTTCATTTTTCATAAAATCATTTGATACTGCCCTCAAATTAGTAAAGCTGTTATCTTTTGTTTATCACTTTAATCCCCGTTGAACACTAGTTGCTTACATCCTAGTAATTTTAATGCTTACTTTTGTTACTTTCAGGAAGCATCACAAATGGAAGAAAGAATCATGGTTAGGTTACATTGTAATGTGGGTTATCATCGGTGTTATTGTGTATGCCATTTACCAGACATGTGTTGCATCAAACACTCGTGGATATCCTTTTAATACATTTCTGTAGGTTGGGGAATGTAGATGGGAACTCACTCACTTGGTCTTCTCTTTCCATATACAATTTCCTCCTAAGTCTGTGACAAAACAACACCTGAATAAATTCATGACTGAGGAATACTATAAACCACTTTAACCCTTAAGGTAGCGAGACTATTATTTGTGTTGAAAATTACGATTTTCACATTTATTAATTGATGAAATGCACTATAAACTTGCATCTGATAAAGTCAACGTAACCTAGAATGTCATGTAAGTTGGTTAAAATGTTGATTTTCTGAAGGGAAGCAAGGCAGTTTCAGTAGTGTTTTCCAAAATCAACAACACAGTTTTAATCTGTGTGCCTATAAGTTTCAAAGATTAACTCAAGACAAAGCAATGTTAGGATGTGTTATCAGTAGCTATCTGACACACAATGAGTGTTTCCAAACATTTGAGTGGTTTGTCTCCGCCCCTGTTTATTTCACAGATTAGTCATTTGCATATGAGGCACAAGGTCACACAGTCACTGAAAAAAATCATTGATTTTGGTGTTTTCATCTGTCGATTTTATCGAATTATAGCTATCCCATTCCTTTATTTTTTGGTTTCCAATAGCCTTACACATTTGGATGCCCCCTACACATGTTAAAACAGACCTTGAAGGAAAAACAAATCGTTTGTGTCGATAAACAAGTTTGAAAATCTTTGCTGTGACTTCATGGACGTTTTCTAGGAATTTATGTTTTTCAAAATACAAGGTCTTTAACAAAAAATAACGTATACTTATTGAAATTAAAAACAGAAATTAAAATTCAGGACACTATTTTTCAAAACGCGCTGCTTGAATAAAACTGACCAGACACATTCAATTTACCAGACTATTGAACAACTAGGAAAAGTGAAAAAAACCTTCTTATCACAGCATAAATGCGTAATTATTTTTTTTACAAAAAAAGTATTTTTTCGATTCCAAAAATATATACTTTCCTGGGTCTATTTGTAGTCGTTTGGTCACAATTAGAAGATGAAAACAAGTATGCAAATAGTAGTCCCGCTACCTTAATTGGTCAAGTCAATGTAAAAGTACATAGGGCTGGCAGGATAAGAGATGAAGGGATACTGTTGTTATGTAGCTGCTTGGGAGGCTCATAGAAAAACAAATGTTTACATATTAACCAGTTTATGAGATCTGCAAGCCAGTTAGTAAATATAAAAAATCAATTCTCCTATTGTAAGTCAGTGAATAGTCATAGTTCAAGTTTGTTTGATGATTAAAATACTACATGTGCCATAGTTATGGCTGAGCCAGGTTTTCACTTTAAGCTAGATTGTGTTTAGATGAACTTTGAATAGTGTGTAGTGCACACAGTGTTGGTACAGACCAATCGGAGATCAGAAGAACAATATAAGAACATTTGAATGAGGTCCATAAACATTGACACAACCTTTGACCGTATAAGGAATGGTTTCTGTTTTCATTCTTCCCACTTTGCAAATATGTAAAATTATCACTCCTAAAACATGTTAAAAACATAAAAATATGATAAAATGTACCATTACATGTATTATATATTAGCTATCCTGCTCTCACTTTACTGGAGAGTTTTATCCCTTACAAAAGCACATCTTACAATGATAGACGTATTGGTATTATATATCTATATTCTCCTTGATAATTATCACATCGCCTTATCCTGACGATGGTCACCCACCTGGTCAAGGCTCAGGATCAAGATGGGGTGGAGGCGGCAGTGGTGGTGGTGGTCCCCCTCCTCCAGGATTCAGATCAGACTATATGCCAGGAGGTAGGAATCTATATTAGAATCTATATTAGAATCCATATTAGAATCTATATTAGAAATGTACATAAAGCAGTAATTGCAGGCATAATATGCTGGATCATTAAAATATATTGATGACTTATTTTATTGATGACTTTATTGATTTTTACCATACATCTGAAACCTGAAAGGATAGGATAGGATAGTTTATTTAGGATGTACACAAAACAATGCTTGAGTAAAGTCAAATATAAGAAACATAAAATAACACAACTAATCTAAATTAATTTTAAAATCTGAAATACAAAAAATTAGCTAAAATACTACACACATAATTATACATGTATCTACACTTGAGAAAATCTTGATAAACAATTCTTCAGTTGGCAAGATTTGGTAATCAGGCGAGTATATAAATAGTGCATAGAAGAATTTTCTTGAAATAAAGTAAATATGGTACAATAATATCCTTTTTACAAATACGCACTATACATGTATGACTACTGTGTTCTTTTCATCAGTGATGACTACACTATAATAATTATAATAATTCTTATATTTATTGCATGATTAAATAATTAAAAGATATTTTGTTCCTGTCTCATTGCTATGATTAACATTGCATCTACTGTTATCATTTCAGGTGGCTGTTCTGCAAATTACGGCGGTTCCACGGGTAGCACTGGTAGTACTGGGACAGGAGGAGGTGGTTTCTGGACTGGCGCTGCCACTGGTGGAATTCTGGGATACATGTTTGGAAATAGAAAGTAAGTAGTAAGATTTCTATGATCAGGGTTACAGATGCATCAGATCAGGTCAGGTCAGGTAGTTTTTGTGTGGAGAAATCTCTTGCATATGAACACCTCATTACTCAGAGATAGAAGACTTTCCTGGGGTATTTGAAAATCAAAGATGTCATCTAACTGTGAGATCATTGCCGATTGACTTCTGAGTTGGATTACGATTTTGGATTCAAAGACCACAGGTGTTCTAGGTTCTTTGTGTAATGAGGTGTTCAAATGGAAGGAATTTTTCCATGGGAAAAAGTCTGAATATGGTTGAATTTTGTTAGCGTTTGGCTTAATATTACCCCAACGGATTGTTTGGTCATAAAAGTTTGTTATTTTTTCCCTAATTTGTAGGATTCTGAAAAACATGTTTCCCAACTTTTATTTAGTTTCAAGCCGTATTCAAGATGGCTGCCCAAATTGATTTAATATTTGTAAATTAATCACATTTATGTTATTTTCACATATTCGCCAGCTGACTGTGGTTGGCAGCTTACAATTCATGCTACTTATTACTGTATTGAGGATGCGAGAGAATAGACTAGTCATAGAAATTTCATGTTAACCTTTAAGCAGATATGATACATCACTGATGCACATTATGTATTATGCTCACCAATGATGCATTAAAAAATTAACAGTGATTTCCACATAGTTATGAAATTTGTAATTTTGTAGTATAAAATTCACATTTCATAAACAGAATAAACAAACAAGGAGAAATTAGGCACCACAACAGTTTATTCTATAACTCCCTACAGTCGCATACAATCTTAATTTTATTATTGAATACCTCTCTCCCAAGCAGTCACCAAGCTGACCCAAATTGATTTTTGGGGATTTTATTTTTGACTCAATAAAATTAGTTTTGTTAATAGAGCAAACAGCTACTTTGATTTACAAATATAGCAGATATGATATTCTAATTCATATAGTTGTCTTTACTCTGTTTGAAGTGTTTGCATATATTATATACTGGATCATGAAATTGTAATTCATTATACACACCTCTGTCATTTCTGTAATCATGTGTGCTACATGTACTATTATATAGAGCAAATACTGTAATTAAGTGGATATAAATTGATGCCATTTTATTTTTAGCCGTGGCCATGGTTATGGTTATGGTGGAACTGGTTATGGTTATGCTAGACCAGGTTATGGCTATCGTACTGGAGGTGGATCTTTTTTTGGTGGTGGTGGCGGCGGTGGCGGTGGTGGCTTCGGGTCATCAAGAAGTTCAGGAACCAGAACAGCATCAGGTAACGTATCTTTCAATGCACAACTTGGCTTTATGCATGACCCTTAAAGGTCACACATCCTGGCACTTTCTGACCCCTAAAGGTCACACATCCTGGCATTTTTTTGGGGGGGGGTATATTTGTCCTAAAACAGCAAAATTAATATATTTTATCTATATTGGGGTTATTTTAAACTATTTTTAAACTTTTTTGCATTTCTTAATTATAGGTATACATGAAGGTATACATGTTAGTTTTATGGTTACAAAAGAGAATAACAGGTCTCATCGCTAGTCTCATCGTCGGTATATTTTTTTTTGAGAACAATTTCTCTAGATATACTTCCATTGATTGTTATGTCGGAAATGACATACTGAATGAATATAATAGTAAATCTTCCAAATGTTGAATACAACGGCGTTTTGGGTGTTAGCCAGAGCTAAGCGTTCTGCACGCCTGCGCTAAGGATCTTTAAAACTGGTCAGATTTAATTCATACTTAGTTCCTGTGAAGTGTTCACGCACGTTTTCTTAGCACAGGCTAAGGTATTTAACCTCTTAGCCCATGCAAAGGAGCTGTGCATGAATGCTTCTATTGTTGGGTTGCATGTGACATGAGTTGTGTCTATGAGTTGCATGTATTGCCAAGATGGCTGGCAATTGGGGCCAGGGACTAGATTAGTTCTGCTAGAACTACCCCTCTGATCCCCATCAGAAAAAAAATATATATTTAATATTCATTCAGATAAAGTTCCTGTACAATTGTCTTTTTTTTCTGGTGAAATAAATCTATTCTATTCTATTCAAATTTTTCCCATGGTAATATCGCATCATGTAACTCAGCAGCACTTGATGGCATGACTGAAAACATGCTGAGCTCTGATAATAGGAGGGTAACTAATGTATCATAATCACTTTTTTTTATCTTAGGCTTTGGTGGGACAAGTCGTCGATGAGGAAACAGATGCTTTGGCAAAGTTCTTTTTATATGATGTATTTTGCCGATACAGGGGACAAGCATGCAAGATATTTTGTAAATAAAGGATGTAATCACATTTTTTAGAGGGATTCTAAATGTTTACACAGAATAAAGTAATTAACTTCTATTTCTTGAAATTATTATTCATATTATTTCATTGTTGATTATAATCAGAAATGCAACATTATACTAGTTCAGTAACATATCTGCCACAACATTTCTGGATGCCATAGTAATAGATACATCAAATTTGGCCATCTGATAAGATGTAAAATCAAATGCAATCAGTGTTATAATGTTCTTGGTGATATATGATATTGTCTACGCACTGAAGTATGGCCATTTTCTTATCATATTCGTTTGTTTAATTCACATACTTAGGTTAGATATGTTAGGTTATTTGTTTTTTGGGATGTGAATTTATTTAATTTTTTGCTATACAAAAAGCCACATTTTGGGCTGTCAGTGTGCTGTATAAAACAAACTGGACTTAATCCTTTTTCAATTTCAGTATTTGTATGGATTAAAAAAATAAAATAAAAAAAAAACATTGACATATTATTCAAAACTTACAGCATTAATATTTGTATATAGTTAAGTTTATATACAGTCTGGGGTACTTTTAAGTTTGCTTATAAATAAATATGTCCACTTTTGATAATGATTCACTAATTTCTTACTACTGGTACTGTAAAATACTTTATTTTAGCTGAACATAATTTTGCTGAAAAGACTTTTTGGGTGTTTGGTATGAAGTTTATTTTCACTTATTGTTTATGAGTTGAATGTAAAATATAGGAATAAAGGGATATTTGCTGGATTTTATTATCACTGAATCATTCCTTCAGCAAATAAAGCGAAAATAAAGTATTTTAAAGTATATGATGTATTAATTAAAAAATCACAAATGAAAGAAACTATTGTTCCATGTATGGGCAGTTTTCAAATTCATTTTCAAAAATAGGTTCAAGATCACCTGCTTTCATTATCACTGTTAATAAACATCTGCATAACATTTTTTAAAAGTTGGCGAAATAAACCACCATATCATAGAGCTTTTCTTTTATACTGCATTAATTATGCAATGTATAGAGATAATAGCTGACAGGTGTAAATGCCAAGATGTATTTTTAACTATTTTCGAAAACATGCCTTATCAAAACAATTTATTCCATTTACATTTTTACTGTTGTCCCATTTATTGTAAATGTAACTTTGTTGTAACTATTACAAGGAACTTTTGTTTACTGGTAATTGTTTTTTAATTTACCTGGTATGTTTACACAAGAAATGCTTTTACACTTATTTGCATGCTGACAGGCAATTGTTATTAGAACATGTTAGCACAGAAACATTGCTAGTATCTGTATTTAAACCTGATTTACAATAGGCAACAATTTCCCCGAGTAATTTGTTTCAAAAATTATTTCGAAATTTCATTTCAGAAAAATAAAAATGCAAAGGCTACTATGTTCCTTATCTTGTCAAGTCAATGCAGTTATCTTCGTAAAACTTTTTTAACTTTTGCTATTTTTGGCTTGTCCATAATGACAATGTTAATGAAGGGTAAAGTATATTAGGTAACTTTGTCTGTTGTTTCATGTTATCATCAGAATTTTTTCACAGGTGCTAAAAAACTCGATTACCGTAATTTTATTTAAGGCTGGGGTGTCGTCATCTGTGCATGCGTTAGATGGCCATAGCGTGTCATTGTTTCCGAACGAACAACCGTCTACCGATGAGCCTTTGCGTTTTTCGCGCGCGTGTTGTTATCGTAGCTTGGGGACTCAATTCCCGCGTGTACGCAGGTGACAACCCTCCCGCTTTAAACAGTGTCAAACTTGGTTATATTGATCATCAGTATAAAATCATTTTTAGAGTTTGATTTTCCTTGTCTTGTGTGAATATACCTCAAGATGTTTGTTGTATGCATTAAAGCCTTTGTTTGTAATTGCGAATCATGTACCTTGCAAACAAGATCACTTGCAATAAATCTTCCAAATTCCCTGGAATACTAGTGGTCTCCAATGTCAACAAATGGAGATATTATTACAATAAGCTAAAAAGTAATTTCTAATTGATATACATTTGCAAACACTTCAATGAAACACTTGTAATGAACAGTCGTAACAGAAAATAGATTTATCACACACACTATTCACTATGATTAACCCATTGAGTCCTGAAGTAATTTGTTTACGTTGCACAAAATGAAACTTATGTTCTTCCAAAATGTTGATCAAAATCTGTAGCCAATGGGAAATTGTCCATTTGGTCTATAATTAACAAAATTATAAAAAGTATATAAAATCTGTCATTTCGGGTTTTAATATTTCAACTTTGAACTTGTCTACTATTCTTTTTAGCAGTAGGTTTTAAAGAAAGTGCAAAACTCTATTCTGCTGTTTCTGTATCAGAACAGAGATTGTTCTTGGGATACAGTGCTCCCAGCAGGCCAGGCAACTGATGTAAAACTTTCTGATTCTGTTACTTGTCTGATGTCAGTAATCGACTGAGAGCAGCACATCAAGAGAAGGTTTTTCAGAGATTTTTATTGAGTCGCCGCTTTGACTGATGCATGTCAACATGAATATGGAATTGTATGTCAAAACAATTGACAACTAAGAAAGACAATACAAACCTACAAACAATGAACAATCTGGCATGCAAAACTCTGAAAGTCAGGAGTTAAAACTATTTCAAACGATTTCCCGTGGCAGGTACGTGAGTAAATAATCACACACTTGTTTGTCGCTCAAAGATGCGACAGAAATGGACGTCAAGTCCGGGGAAAGTTGTATCGATAGCAAATTTGGTCAGACGCACAATAATGCAGTGTTGACATAAGTTAAAAAAAAAAAAAAAGTTATTGTCAACTTGCGAGAGAGTGATGGATGCAAAGTATAGAAACCCACATATAATGACAGTGTGATTGGTAGGTTCATATTTAGAGTAGTAATCAATACCCAGTATTCCTATCACGTCTGAATGTAACTTCTATATCGCTGTCGATCTGAAATAAAGAGATAGTCTCTCGCTAGAGTCCGAGAATATCGACCAGGTTGCCGTGAAGCAACTCTACCTGACTGAGAGCGAAAAGTGTTACAAGATGTATCCGGTGCGTGTACTTAATGGATAAAAGAACGAACGATTCCGATCCCCTCTAAAATAATAATGTTCATGAGGCTTGAATGGAGAACAAAGCAATCCTATATCAGTGGCAGATCCAGAGGCGGACAGGGGGCCATGACCCCCCAAACGCATGATGAAAATGCATCTGGATTACGCATAGCATCGTCCGAATCGCATGGTCCCGTGTCTTGGACCCCCACTTCCAATACATTTTGCTGGATCTGCCCTTGTCCTATGTGGTGACACAAAAACACATTCATCACGCTATCGTTAAATTAATCTATCCATGTGATAGTGTGTATAGTTGTTGGCACATTAGAAAACAGCCATGATAACATTAGAGAAAATATGAAAAATCATTTAGCAAGACTAATCAGTTTTAAAATTAAAATTATCATATCAACTATGACCACGCCCATAGCAACCAGTTAAAAGCATGTTTTCCTAGTTCAATAACTTCCTTGTTTTCACACATAAAAACACGCGAAAACGTGTTACTTTTGACATCGACGCTATAATTGATCAGTTGTGGTAATTTCGCGTTGGGACCAGACATTTTGCGACCGATGTTCATATGGTACACCTTGATCCAAATTAACCCAAATAAGAAAACCATTTTTCATAATTAATGAGGTCATTCAACTTTCGAGTTACCGGTTTTCGAAAGAACATCGCATAGAGAGTAAAAAATACTGTGAAACTATTTATTTTCACTGACATATAATCCCGGGGGTCACTTTATATTAAAACCTTACACCATGTGCATTCTTGCTAAAAAATAATAGACCCATAGGGCTGGCAGCACATTGGCAAACCATACCCCCTATTGCGGATGCAATGTGCATTTAGTACCCCCTAAAGCAGACATATTGAAGAAAAAAACACTCCCTATTTCAGACATATATTGAGAACATCCTACCCCCTATTGCGAGCATTCTCTGCCGTTTTTTGCACTCAAGTGGAGTGTGATCAACTCAAACAAGTTACTGTGTATGCAACTTCTGTTGGTGTCATTCATTGTTTGATACAGAAAGATGAGAACTATTGACGTGATTGTGAATATGATCATCTATAGTTTAAAACACAATGCGCACAACTTTGCCAGGATTCTTATTCCATCAGATACCATGATGCAATTTTATGTTCAGCTCCGAGTGACTTCGGCATGAATATAGGACAGAAAACCAAGAAAAAAGCAGGAGCTGAATGCGAAAGGAGTTTCGGAAGTGTGGATGACTCCGGGATGACTTTCTGCATGCGGCTTATTGTAATCGACGATACGAAACGAAACGGGATAACACACACAATGAAAATTAAACTGTAATCAGTGAAAATGGGTTTTATACGCACAATATTTACAACATATATGTCGCAAATTACAGATAATCAAAAATCTGTAATCAGCGAAACAAGGGTCTTACATGTACAATATTAATTATTGTCGGTCAAAACTTGACTAGTATAATATTCAACTTTCAGTAGTGTATACTAGTATAACGACATAACACATTTGCCAAAAATAACAATATAATCAGTAAATGGTTCGTTTCGCTAATTACAGATAATCGAAAATCTGTAGGCAGCGAAGCAAGGGTCATACACGTACAATATTCACAACTGTCGGTCAAAACTTGACCAGTATATTTACATTTCAGTAGTGTATATAACACAATGAAACATTTGCCGAAAATAACGGGATTTTAGGGAGTGAATGGTTCGTTTCGCTAATTATAGATAATTGTTTTATGAAGTTTCACACACGACTGAAAGGTACAAATACTGGTCAAATTTCGTCCGATAGTTGTGATTATTGTACCTGTAAGACCCTTATTTCGCCGCGTGATTGCATTATGTGTATTATCCGTTCCGTTTCGTTTCGTTTCTTCGATTACAATAAGCCTCCTTATGCTCGTGTTGGAAGTGGCGGTAAAGTACAGGCGGACGTTTGCGGCCTGGTCGGGGCTATGGGCCCGCCATTCGGGGCCTAGGGGGTACATGGGAGTGGTTGTTGCAAGAGGGGGCCTACAGCGGGCGCATCAACCCTGTGAGTTTATTCTTGAGGGCGTATTGCAGACATTATCATTTTAAAAGGGGCCTATTTGCCTCCCGCGCGAGCCCGCTTTAGTAGGTGAAAAACACCCTGCTTTCCCGCTAAATTTGGAACGCACCTAGGGTAGTAACAGCATATAGGGTGACCCCCCCTGGGTATATAATTTCAATAGTTTGATGCTTCGAGCAATTTCACTGGGTATCATGGTCACGAACTAGGTAAAGAAACAACGAGTTCTTACTAAGGGGGTAGGGGCATGCTCCCCAGAAAAAAATAAAATCTAGACCCTCTGTAACGCTATTTCCTGCATTTTGAGGGGCAAATTTTGCTGACATACATAGCATAACATAACACAAAGGGTTTCAGCTTGATTTGTTTGCGACCGCCACCGCCCGGATGTAAAGAGAGCGAGTGGAAGTGCACCATTGCAGCAACCCACGTGAAATGTTGCTTTCGGCTGATGAAATATCGACATACTCCATCAACGAAAATAGTTACATAACCGTACTGTATTATTCCAGGATGTACGTCTAGTGCCATTAAAAAAAAAATTTGAAAGAAATATTCATAACTTGCGGACATCACACTTATGTATATTTTGAAATCGTGCAGTGTGTGTTTTTTTCCTTTATACAGGCATTATGGATGAAAAATCACGGATACAACCAGAGCTCCAACATTATTTGGGAATTGAGTAGCCAAACAATTGGTAAGTTATACACAGCTTTCAGTTGTTCCTCTCTAGCCTAAATTCGTAAGCACCACTTTCGTCATGAGAAGAACATTTTTTTTAGTGTATGTGACTCGTTGGCTGCGTTCGCCAGGTATTTCGTGATTGCCGGGAGCTGAAAGACGGGCATCTAATTAGTTTGCCCTTAGACAACCAATAATTATTGCTTGTCTGAGGTTTGCCAGCTTCACTAGTTCAGTCTAGTTCTAGTTTTGTTGTTTTTTGTTGGAAACAGAACAATTATAATGTTTACTCCATTGTCGCCCTCTGTGAATGCCCAACCACAAACAACGCCAAAGTTGAAAGTTTCTGCTTGCGAGCTGCATTGTGGGTAAATCAAGATGGCAGCCACAGCTGGGATTCACTGTTCGTATTTTGTTGCTAGGAAGCGTCGTTATTGTAAGCTTTCGCCGGCAATTGGTAAGATATATTGCGGTGAACATGCACATCTCGACAAGGATGCACAGGTAGGCTGAGGTTTATTTACGTCTTGTCTGTTAAAAGCTACTCTTACAATCGTATGTTCGTGACGTTCGGGACAGCAACTAATGCACACGTGTGTCGCGACAATGCACATCATGCCACATGTACGAAGCAATCATTATGTTAGCCCTCAGACTAGTAATACAACAGACTCGCAACGCGGCGTTTTCTTTTGAAGTAATGCGTGCCACGTTTGTTTAGGTTATCAGTTCTTATCGTACCGAGTAAACGTTGCTGAGCAACAACATTTTCATTATATTTCACAAATAACGCGAGATCTATTCATATTACAATCACTATCGCGATGCATCGCGAGACATAAAGAACAGGAGTGGCATAGACGACAGTAGTTGACAGTG